TGTTTTTGTTTGTTTTCCTCACCCTGAAGCATCATCATTTATAATCCCATTTTTTCTGACTTGTTCTAGTCCTGAAAGTAGACTTCTAGGGAACTTAATTGGCCACTGTATGTTTTCTGATTGGTTTCTCCACTCATAGACTGAAGGCCTCTAACTTTCTTGATCTTATTTGATCTTTATTATTTCAGTATTGGGAGTAGGTTACACATTGGTCATACTGTCCTCTGGAACATTTCAGTGTATCCTCATAAAAACTCTTTTACTCATTCACTTTGTCAATTTACATAGTATCCCTGGCAAGTGCATGGAGTAAACATCAAAAAAGCGCAGCACACAGTGTGTTTGAAGGCATCAATCATCTATCTTCCTGTAGTGGCCACTCTTAACTTTGTAGCACTTTTTGCTCTCCGTGTAAGAGTTCAGAATATCAGTATCAAAAGGATGGACAACTGAAATATAGATGAGATGGTTGATTTGTTTAGTTGCTAAATGCAGCTGGGGCAGGTAATTAACCAGTCCTATTCCTGCAGAGAAGCCTGCAGCAATGTAACCTGCAGTCAAAAATCCAGCTGCACACAGATTTAGATTCAGAACTAATATTAGGTAAGGCTCTTTCAGATTGACAGATTTCGTAAACATCATTTTCGGTTTATTTGTTCAGCATGATTGGAGATGAAGCCTGTACGTTTTGTTCACCATTTACATTTCTAGGGAACGTGGGATGTTTACAGATGCTTGGGGGAATAGTCTAGAAGGGTAGAATTTTGTATCTGAACAATATATTCCATAGCCGAGCTTTACTGCTCCTTGGTGCACCAGGCTGTTCTGACTGCAACTCTTCAGTTGACGTGGAAAGGGCTAAACCGTGTGAGTTGATCAGGGCTAACTGGAGTTTTCCCCTTAACTCTTTCATCTTTTATGGAAAAATATTCCCATAACTAAAAGGGACTCTATATGTATAACAGTGTCTTCATTTTAAATTGGGAACTTTTTTATGTACAGTGGTCACCATCATGTACTCCGTTGTTCAAATAAAAATCTTATACTTGCCTTTTTCACTGAGCTTCCTCCAGCAGGCCTTTCCTAGGGCTGACAATTTTTGTTCTTTAAAACGCAGCTTAAATATCCCCTTTTCTGTGAAGTGTCTTCTGATCGGCTTTCCACAGTGTCCTCTGCCTGCTCTTATGCAGCTGTCCTGATTAGTTCCTTCACGGCACTTACAATAACCACTTGTGCTCTTGTTTGTTCATTCGCTTGTATTCTGCTTGCTTTCCTGGTGGCTCACTGTCTTCTATTCAGAAAGTCATTGCTGTTTCCTAGGGACCCTTTATTGGGTTTCTGAGGCTGTAAATCTTGACAGTAGACTTTTCATCTCTTCCACTCTCCATATTAATTTCATGATAGCAGAGACCATTTCTTTCATTCATCTTGTATTTCCAGCTCTTAGTTCAATGTTTTGCATGCAGCTTAGACTCCATAAATATGTACTGGTTATCATGTCCAAACTGATAATAAGTAGAAATTCAGTATGGTATGGTAGTAAATGTCTCATTCTCTCTCTCTCTCTCAAAAAAAAAAAAAGAAAAACCATTCCAATTTGTATCAGCCGCCCATATTCATGGTACAAATATTCCACCCACAGCAGATACACCACTGGACATGTATTTGGGATTCTCACAGTAGTACTCTGTGTTACATTGCTAAAAGCTTCTGAAATTGGTGGATTAACAGACCAAGCATTTAATCTATTTTAGTTGTCTGCCTCTCAGCATTCTGAGTTTTTAAATAGTGTTTCTACCATACAGAAATAGCAGACATCCATCACTTTATCAAGCGTGGATGAATCTCTGCTGACACTACTAATCAAAACGCTAACAGTTCAAATCCACTAGCTGTATTCTGGGATAAAGATAGGAAGTCAATCTCCTCCTTTAAAAATTTACAGCTTTGGAGATCCAATGGAGGGCCGCTAAGAATTGGAATAGACTTGATCACAGTGGGTTTCTTGGTGGTGGTTGCTGTTTTTGTCTTACAAAGGTATTAGAAAAATATAGTAGAATAATTCTAAATAGTTTATTTTTTAATAATGGTTTTAATAACTTCCTTGCAAAATTTCTGAAAATGGAACAGTTTGCTCTTCCAAGCTAGTGTAAGTACACCCCTGGAGATCATCTATGGGTTCATGAACTGACAACTTTTTGCTCAGTAGTGTTTGAGAGAGAGAGAGTTGGGAGAGATTGGTGGACACTTTGTTATCACAGAAGTATTTATTTGAGAGATTTTACTTACCAACATCGAGTAACTATAAAAGTGACTATAACATCTCCTTTCATGGTCACAAACATAAGTTAAAGTGACTAGATGAGAGCATAGAGTGGCAACAGTGAGAAATAAATACGATATTTTTACAAATAACATGACCACAGCAAGGATGCACACACATGTAAAGCATGGCAATGATAAACAGGTCTGGTATGATATGTATACCATGACAGTTCTAGAATTTTTATCTTATTTACCCTTTCTCCTACGTAGTAGGTAAGTCACAATGTTCTGTTCATTTTCTTTCATTCTGTTACTTTTCTTAAATGTCCTGTTTATATGTATCAAATAGGCCAAAAATATTACTTTTGCTCATAAATCGTATAATACAGAAATAAAAGCCATGGTTCCAAAGTCATGAATCAACTTTGGCAGCTCCTTTTGTATTTGTTTTTGTTGATTTAAGTTGATAATGTTAGTGCATTAGCTTAACATTTGGGTCTATAAACGTAAACAAATTGTTTTGCGTAAAATGTTTTGGTTGTATTAGGTGTATTTATTTCAAAGTTTAATTATGTGTTCTCAGTGTGAATTGAACTACAGGAGAAAATGATGACCTGCAGTGTTGGTGAAAGTAATGCAAGACTGACAGAAAGACGTATAATGTGTGTGTAATTTTAAAAAAGACATGCCAACCCACAAAGCAGGAACAGGAGTGGAAACAATCTTAACCTTCCTTTTACAATGCTACAACATCTTATTGCCAGAGTAGTAATAGATCCGGAAGTGCTTGATGGTCAGCAGCAATTGCTTTTCAGAAAATTAGTTCAGGATTACCACATGTATCCCATATGTCTATCTTAAATCATTGAAATCTTAGTCTTCTGAGTAGCTATAGTGAGATAGGAGCTGAGCCCCAGAGGGAACCTGCATATAACATAATGAAGTCTGGGAACTCAGAGCAGATACAAGCCCAGAGATGAAAGATGGGACAAATAAAGCAAGGACACATTGTCAACACATTGCTGACCTGTAGAGTTATCTCCTTATTAAGTATTGTTCAAGGTGAACCTTGTACTTCACCTGAGAGAGGCTGTTGATAAAATAAAAATCTCCATTAGTACAATGTTGTTATTGTTGTTTCGTGTCATCAAGTCACCTGTGACTCATAGCAACCCTATGTACAATAGTCTAGAAACCTGCTCTACCATAAGCCAACCTTATTGTCTCCGACATACCTAACCCTCATTATCACTGAATCAATCCATCACATCGAGGGTCTTCCTCTCTTGTGCTGTCCCTCCACCCTCGTAAGCGTGATGTTCCTCTCCAAGGACTGATCCCTCCTTGTAACATGCCCAGAACATGTCAGACAAAGCTTCAGAATCCTTACCTCCAAGGAGAGCTTGGTTTCACCCTCTTCAGTATAAATCTGTTTGATCTCCTGACAGTCCATGGTATATTCAACACTTTTCTCCAGCAGCACAGCTCAAAGGCATCAATTTTCTTTCTATCATCCCTAGTGATTTCCTAGCTTTCTGACACTTAGCAAGTAATTGAGAAGACTGTTTTGGATCAGGTGCACCTTTGTCTCCAGACTGATGTTGTTACACTTCAGTATTCTGGACAGGTTCCTAACAGCAGACTTTCCCAATGCAATTCGTCTTTTTATTTCCTTAGTGTAATACTACATTTAAATTTGTTAATCTAACAGGAAGAAATTGCCTATTCTTCTCCTATGGAGCAGCTGATAAATTCGAACTGTGTGCCTTCGGCATTGCAGTGCAGCTTCTTAGGTAGCCGATAAAAAAATCACTAGCTTCATCTGTGATTAATGGGGTGTGGTGATTCGCTTAAATGTTACGTTCAGCACCATTGAGACACTCAGTTTACCTTTGGCTAGAGTTTCTCAGTGTTTGACATTAATGCTTGATATCAATGCTTGGTATCCTAACTCATAGAAACCTGTATCAGCCAACAGAATCAATCCTAGAATGGAATAATTATCTTATTACACACTTATGTCTGCCTTCCCCTCCACTCTCTAGTTGAAACATTTTCTCACTTAAATTGGCTAGATGAAAAGGGATGCATTTAGATGAGGTGCTGCTTTCTTGGCTTAGTTCAAATAACATTTAATGAGCCCTCTTTAGGGCCTGTTACTGTGTTAGTGGCTGAAGTTATAAAGATAAAAGATACAGATGCTGCACTCATGCTGGATGGGGAGCCATCAGTAATAGAGGAATTTTAAACACAACATGCTGTGAACTGTGAGAGATACAAAGATTACACAGGAGCCCAGATAAAGGCACTTTAGCTCAGAGACTGGGGAGGGTTTCCTGGAACTGACAGTAACTTGATTTTGAAGTATAAATTGAAGTCGGTTAGATTATAAAGAGGAGGTAAGATGTTCTGAGTGATGGAAAGACCTGTAGGAAAGTGAAACACAGAATACATTTGGGGAGCCATGGAAGCTTCAAGTGCTTAAACCTGGAAGTAGGCATTTGAATATCTGTCTTTCTATTCTGATGGAATCAGGTAAAGTGGAAGGAGATTAAGAAGGCAAGTTGATCTTCATATTTCTTTAGGCCAGTTTCCCCAATATTACCTTCTCTAGGGCCTTTGGTAATCTATGTCAAGAGGTGGCGTTCTCATGTCACAGTCTTACATGATGGAGAATTAACAGCTAGACATGTCTTTGCTACATTTCATGTTTCTGCACTTCTGTTTTGCTACAGCTGCTGCCTATTCACACTCTGAGGCTTGGTGTGGAAGTGGATTCCTTTGATGGGCACCATTACATCTCGTCCATTGTTCCAGGTGGCCTTGTTGCTACACTGAGTCTTTTACAGCCCGAGGATGAGCTGCTTGAGGTAAAATTTATGAGGGAAGAAAGATGGCTTTCAGGGCAAACTTTTTTAACTTCTGAGAAAATATGTTCTTACCAGAAATACACTGAAATCTACCTTATATCAATGTGTGGGAGGTACATACACACATATAAAAAAAAAGTACTATTAGTTTTAAATACAATCTGTTTTAAATTGATTGTAAAGGAAGTAGATAGTATGTTTTCAATTCATTCCTCCTCACCCCAATTTTGGGGTTTCCTGAATGCTGAAATTCTCTTTGAAGAGGATACTTAAGTGATTGACCAAGAAAAAAAAATTGAAAGTTTGGTTTTTAAAAAAATTTTAGTAGCACGATCGTTAGGTTTTTTTAGCAACATTATTTGTAATTGTGTATCACTGATTCCTGTTTAGAACATATATAATATTTATTTGTAGAATTGTTGATTACTTATGATAAGGTTAAAACTGGGTGAACTACAAGACTTCTGTATTTTGCTGAGTTCTCAAATTGTCTCTTCCAAACACAGTTGCCGCTAGTGGGCTCACTCGGACTCCCAGCCCTCTTTAAATCAGGACACTTACTGAGCACCTTTGCTTTGACGTGCATTGAAAATTTTGGTACAGTGGAAGCACAGGAAACAAAATGATGTTTAAAACTTCCAGTTTTCCAAATAATTAGGCACTAGCTTCCCTGACTTGCACTGAATTAGTGGTAGAATGTTGACATGAGTGGATATTTCTTAAGTCTCCTTCGTTGTTCTTTAAACAACATCACAGTATCTCTTAAGCCTCTAAAGAAGATTTGGAGGCAGAGAGGAGGTGGGTAAATTTGGAGAAGGCTTCACAGAAAGGAATTCCCCCAATAGTTAGGATCCACAAGGGTTTGAGCTTAATAGAAAAAGAAACTTAGCCTTAGGAGTATAGAGATTTCTCTCTGAGAAGTGGTATTGGGACTGGCATTACTTTAACAATGATAAGGGCATAAAACGAACCTTTATGGAATTATCTGAGAATCAAGTAAATTAGTGGAACAATACTTGTCCAGTAATATGTATACTAGAAATGTATATGAATATCTAATAAAAAAGACTTGACAAGACTTAAGAGGGCCTTATATGAAGGAACTAGAGAAAGATTATAAACTTTAAATTAAAAATTGGTTTGTTTTGAGTAACAAAATACAGAATTAAAAAGGTCTCAGTAAAGTTAGGCAAATAAACTCCTAAACTTAAGGAGAGAGACTCATGTATATGTGTGTGTGTGTGTGTGTGTGTGTGTGTGTGTGTTTAATGTACTCCTTTGAGCTTAAAACCAGAAATACAAATACGCTTTGGGGGTTAGAACTCTGTGCCAAGTCTCAGCCCAGAACAGCTATTTACAGCAGCCATAAATCCCCTTAGATAGGAGCTGGTAATGGGAAATGTGACCAATCCCTTTAGCTGTAGAGAGTAGTAAAGAGAACTACCAGGCACTGCTATAATAATTGGAGACAATTCAAATGAATAAATAATGAGCTAAATAAATATTTAAATGTACTCCAAGATAAAAACCTGAAAAGCGATTTTCCAATTTGTTGAAGTAATGTGAAACACAAACTAATAGTTGTGTATGGGTAGGATTTCTGCTTTGATTGTATCTGCTTGCTTTCTTTTAGGAAGTACTCATTTGGTTGCATTTAGAACTTTCTATGCTGGTGACATCACTTGGTGTGCAATTCTCCCAAGAATAAACCTTTAATCAGCTGCTGCAGTTGCTATTCCCTGAGTCCCTTTCATCAGGCCTAAGGCCCTGGGAGATGATATTTACTTTTCCACCAGGGCTAGTTTCTTGAGGCATGTGTGAGTCTTTTGACCATGTGGTGATTTCTTTGTAAATAATTAAGAGGTAGGGAGGTTATGTCTGGCCTGATGGCTAAGTGCTTGGGATGTTACAGACCTGAGAATGGCTCCTAGGAATAGTTCCCTAGGGGCTCCCATTGCTGCAAATCCAGCAGCCACTGTCCTCTTATTCTCTGTTGCAAATTTTTGATTTTGTGGGAAACATAAACCCAAATTACTTTAAATCAGTTCTACCCGTTATTTGTGCTACACCTGTCAGGACTCATGCCAAATTAGAAATACATTTAACCCTTGCATGACGGAATTCTTTTTAGCTTTGAAATGTGTGTTTTGCTTTGTTTTTTAATATATATACCATGTGTTTTCAATAATGGAAGTTAAAAGTAAACTAAGGAAAAAACCCATTTTTGGGGAGGGGAAATAATAAGCATTTTGATGCAGTTATGTGGGACACATAAGTCCCAACTGAACTCTGGTGGTAGGTGGGTGGTATGAAGTCCATCTCTTAAGGTTGGTGGTATTATATAGATCCTCATCAGTCATGTTACAAGGAGGGGCCAGTCCTTGGAGAGGATGTCATGCTTGGGAGGGACAGCGCAAGAGAGGAAGACCCTCAATGAGATGGATTGATTCAGTGATGGGGTAATGAGGGTAGGTGTGTCAGAGACAATAAGGTTGGCACAGAGTAGAACCAAGTTTAGGGCTCTTGTTCATAGTGTCACTATAAGTAGCATGTGACTCGATGGCACATAACAATATCAGTAGCATGTACAACTGAGGTAACTTCCCAAGACATCTGGGGAGCTGACACCGAAATGAGTGTTATTTTATGAAATAGGAATGTAAGAGTCAAATATTAAAAGAGTTTTTATCACTTGGAATTATGCTCATGCACCAGCCTTCCAAGGGTTTCAGGCAGATCAGCTGTTAGTAAACCATAGTGAGAACTGAAGGACTTTTGGTGGTGCAATGTGCATAAAGTATCAGGCTGGAACAAAAGTTTAGTGGGTTGAACCCATCAACTGCTCTGTAAGAGAAAGATGGCCAGTCTCCCGTAAAGGTTAACAACCTCACAAACTTGGTCCAGAGTTACTTTGAGTTGAACTCAACTTGATGGCAGTGAATTTGCATAGTCAGAGCTGAAGACTCTGATGATGCTGTAGTAACAACAACTAGCTACTCACCAAAAAAGTTAGTGGTTCAAACTCACCTGCTGATTCATAAGAGAACAATGAGACAGTTTGCTTCCGGAAAGATATACAGACATGGAAATCCAGAGGGATGCCCTACTATGTCCAGTAGGGTCAAAATGAGTCAGAATCAACTTGATAGCAATGAGCTTTCTGGTTGAGTTAGTCAAACTGAGCGAGCATCCTGAGTGAAAAGCATTTATCTGAAAGTTATGCCAGACTTCCCTTTCTAGATAAGTTGATTCACCTCTCATGGACCTTCATCATGTTTTCAAGGGTGTAAATGTAACTATTAAGAGAATGTTGACCTTTTTCCTGTGGAGAGACAGGTGGATGGATAGAAGTAGACTAGAAAATATAATGAAGCATAGGAAGGGGAAACCATGAAGGTGTAAAACATTAGGAAAAGCACTAATCCAGTGATGGAGTTCTGGTTGTCTAGCTGTAAGAAGCTGCTTGTCCAGAGGCACACAGTTCATACCTATCAGCTGCCCCATACTAGCAGTCAGGAAATCAGAAGATGTGTGGCACTGGGAAAAGCTGCTGTCATCGATCTGTCCAAAGTGCTAAAGAGTAAGGATGTCAATTTAATGGCAAGTGCTCCTGAGATCCAAGCTAGGGTGGTTCGTTCCCCCACCCCACCACCCCCCAGTTGCTTCTTTGGCATATAAGTGTTAGACCGTGAATAGAGTAACAGAAGGAGAATCTATGCCTTTGAATTATAGTGTTTGGGAGAAGAGTACCAATTATTTCGTGGACTTCCAAAAGAACAAACAAGTCTATTTGGAAGAAGTACTCCTGGGGAGCCCCTTAGAAACAAGGATGGTGCCCATACTTAGGACATGTGGTCAGGATGTACTGGTTCTTAGAAAAAGACAACATCTTGGGAAAGGTAGAGAATTTGAGAAAGACCCTCAACAGTATGGATTGACATGATGATTGTAATAGTAGTCTCAAGCATGTCCAAGATTGTGAGGATGGTGCAGGATAGGGCAAGGCACAGGGCTGTTGTTCATAGGGTCACTGAGTGTTAGTTGACAACAACAGTATCACATTTTAGGATCCCCCATGACACAGTAGTTTAAGCACTGGACTGATAATCAAATGGTTGGAATTTCAAATTCACCATCTAGACAGTCTGCTTCTGTAGAGATTTGTAGCCTTGGAAACCCTGCAGGACAGTTCTACTGTGTCCTGTACAGTCACTCTGAGATCGGATTGATTCCAAGGCAGTGGATTTGGTTGATTATTTTGTACTTTATGTAAGGGTATGTGTGTTTACAACACACATTGTGGTTGTGTACTGTCTTCAGAGGCAGTAAATTACATGCAAGGAGACTGCCTATCTGTCTTCTGTGGAGCAGCTGGTGGATGTGAATCACGTTCTTCAGAGCTCTCTGGGGTGTGTGTGTGTGTGCACTAGATTATACTTGACCTTCATTCACATAAAATGATTTAGCCTTAAGTTTTAGAAATGTAAAATTTCTAATATATTGTTATTACTAAAATAATGTGATTAAATTTAAGTATTTTGTTTATAAGGAAAATGAAATCTTGTGTTCTATTTCATTTTTCTGAAATGATTAAAGCAATAATTAACTTATTCATTTGATGTCTGGTCACTCCTTTTTTCTAAATAATATTTTATTTTAATTGTTATTTTAGTGAATATTTATAGAGAAGTTAGATATTCATTCATTCATTCATTGTTGCACATTTTATTCGCTCTCCCTCCTTTTCCCCTCTCTCAGTTTACTTTTTTAAAAAAATATTCATTCATTGTTGCATGATTACCTCTTCCCCCCAGCCCCAGTCCTCTTTGCAATGATGTATCTCTTATTCTGGGGTGCTGTTATACATATAATGCCTAATCATATATTCATTTTAGACAGTTCTTCCTTTCATCTGTTCCAATGCTATGGTTATTATATATCTATGCTTCCTCTATTCTCCGCCAAACTCCTCATGCTAGACCTGCTTTATAACTGTGGTGGTATGCAGTATTTGTCCTTTTGTGACTGAGATATTTCACTTAACATGAGGTGCTCCAGAGTCCCCAATGTGTAATGTTTTACAAGTTCATTATTTTTCAGTGCTGCATAGTATTCCATTGTATGAATAAACCATAGGTTTTTTTATCCATTTATTTGTTGATGGGCATCTGTGCTCCTTCCATCTCTTTGCTTTTGTAAATGATGCAGCAATAAACATGGGTGTGCCTATATCTGTTTGGATGGTAGTTATGGTTTCTTTAGTATGTATTCCCAGTAGTGGCATTGCTGGGTCAAATGGTATTTCTATTTCCAACTTTTTGAGAAAAGGCACCATTTCACACTCCCACCAGCATTGAACAAGGGTTCCAGTCACTCCACAACCTCGCAAGCATTTATTGTTTACTGTTCTGTTGAACTTTGCTGTTGTTACTGGGGTGAAATGATATCTCATACTTGTTTTTGTTACTTCTGACATTGTCTTCCTAGGTCAATGGTGTACAACTCTTAGGAAAATCTCGCCGAGAAGCAGTCTCCTTCCTCAAAGAAGTGCCACCCCCCTTTACCTTGGTTTGTTGTCGAAGGTTGTTTGATGATGATGAGGCTTCTGTAGATGAACCAAGGACCACTGAGCCCTCACTTCCTGAGCCAGAGGTAGTAAAATGAAGATGCTACAGTTGCCATTCTGCAAGATTGTCCTTGAATTGTACTGTGAGAGGGAGTGGGGAAGTTCCTCTCTCACCCACCCCCTAATTTGACTGTAATAATCTCAAAGGCAACAATGCATATATCTTCAAATTGTTACTTTTTATTTAATGTTGTAAAACTCTTTTCTTTCTTTACCTTGAATTGTTGGTGACATTAATGTGCATGCATTTTTATTTCAGAAAGCTTTTTTAGTAATTGCTTGGACTCATTACTTTTTGCTCCCATTTCAGCTCAGTTCATCTTAATAAGTTTAAGATGTTGGTGAGTGTTGAATATCTAATGGAGTTCTCTTTTTCAGCGGCTTAAAAATACAAAGATCTATGACCAATTTTGAAATGAGTCTAGAAATTGCTGTAAAAGCCTTTAGGAGGTCAGAGAATGAAGTCACACATTCTGCGTGTTTACTACTCCGTTTTACGAGCATTGTAATGATGAAAACATGTGCATTGCCATCTTCTGTCATCTGTAACCTTATCCTTTGGGCCACTTTTCCACCTTGCTAGTCTCATAGATTATAGTTCCATTAACAACAGTTCAGATCCATGGAGCCTTCCCATTTATCTGGGTAAAGGATGGATTTCAAGACAGTTGGGCCCTAGTGCTGGCACGGGCCCAGTTGCCATCGACTGGAGTCTCTTAGTGACCTTGTGCGTGCCTGAGTACAACTGTGCTTCCCAGGGTTTCCAACGGCAGTTACTTTTCAGAAGTAGATCATCAGGAATCATGACACACCCTCCCTTAATGATCTTCATATTGCTCATCGGAAAATGAGGATAGTTATAATCCTTGCCTATCTCCTCAGTTTATATGAGGATGAAATGAAGTGATAATACAACTTTCCAAGCATGGTGCTTTGTACTTCAAAGTTATCCATAACTCTCTCAGCAAATGTTGTTGTTTTATTCTGAGTAAAAATTAGTTATAGGTATCCAAATCTTTTTCTGACTTTCTAAAGAACTTTATAGTATTGCTTTTTAATCATTGATACTTTTGTGTATATGAATCTTGAAGGCAGAGATTGTATCCTAAATTGAATTTGCATATCATGGTGCTTTTATTCAGTGCTAGGTATATAATAAAAGATGCTTAAAGATAGTACATATTGATATTTTTTAAAAAAAATTATCTTTTGTAAAAATTATTTTTGAGAATAAGCTCAGAAGCTCCACTTTTGTGATTTTTGCTACCTTTACTAATATGAAATGTTGGTATTGGCTTACATCTGAAGGTTGATAAAAATGCCTTTAATCTAATCTTGCAGGGTGTGTAAATCACCAGCCCTGCTTGCTGACTCTGTGCTCCTATCCGTCACTCTCTACCACAATGGACAAACAGCAGCTTTGAATTATGCTAAATGTCAGCCTTGCTGTGCATTAGTTGATTGCTTTCTATTCTGTAAATACAAGGGTTATGCAAAATTGATTGTATCAAAAATGATATATATCAGGTCGGAATATAATACTGAATGTACTTTCGTTGCCTTGAAAGTTGTATAAACTTGCAATGTATAATTATACTTAGTATTATGACATTCTGGCTCTCTTTTCCTCTGTTATTTCTCATTTATCCTGATACTGTCTTATGTCGTTAAGCCCTTTTCTGGATAGGCAACTCAATCAAAATTCTAATCCTCATTAATCAGTGAGGATATTAAATGCCCCAATAAAACTCCCATCATATTGTATAGTCATTAGAACTTTAGTTTTTATTGAGTGATACATGTATTTTCTTTTAAAGTATACTACACTTCTTTCATCAGACTGAAATATGTACTGGTGACTAATCCAGAACTTTCCTGATAGTTTCAAGTTTTATAATTAAAGAAATTCTTCCTATGGTCAGATTTAATCTAGTGCAGATTGGACTTTGACCATACATGTCTTAAAGTCTCAAGTTGAGATCTGGAGCAACGCTAATTTTAAAAATGTTTTTTTGTTCGCCAGATAGCCTTTGAATTGTGACAGGCATACAATACTGTATTACCTATATTATGGACTACCTCTAGTTCTCTAGACTGCAGATAGGGACCTCTGCAAATTATTGAGGAGTAATGATGTCAGTTTGAGGACTAAGGTGCATCTGATTAAGGCCATGGTTTTTCTGATCACTTGCTATGCATCAGAGAGCTGGACAAAGAAAAGAGATGGCAGAAGAATTGATGCCTTTGATCACTGAACATCACATGGATGGCCAAGAGAACAAACAAATATGTCTTAGAGAGGGTGCAGCTGGAGTTCTCTTTGGAAGCAAGGATGAGAAGGCTTCACCTTACATACTGTGGGCATGTTGCTAAGAGAGGCTGTTCTCTGGAGAGGGACATAATTCTTAGAAGGGTGGAGGGTTGATGAAGGAGAGGAAAATCTTCAACTAGGTAGATTGACAGGGTGACTGCGGCAATGGGCTCTAAAGTGTCAAGAGGTGTGAAGGTGACACAGGATAGGACCAGGTTTGGATCCACCGTTCATGTTGTCACTGAGTTGTACTTGACAGCTCCTAGCAACAACAACATGGACTTTCCCCCCAAATGCTTGTGTGACAAAGGTACTGCTCTGTGTTAAGTGAATAACAGTGGTTAACTCTGGTAGCCTTATGAAATTTGAAGTTTCTAGTCTAATCTAGGGCCAGGAACTTTGTTATTTTTAAGGCTACTAGAAAAAAAAATCCATGAGCTTAGAGGGAAGTTCCAAGTAATTTGGGGAATACAAACATATCAAAACCACACACCCCGAAACTCAGTGCTATATAGTATTGATTCAGACTCGTAGTACAGAGTAGAACTTCTGTGTAGGATTTCCCCATGGCTTAATCTTTTTAGGGTATTCTGGTGGCTTACTGGATCAGAAGTTGAACTACTAATCCAGAAGCAATTGGTTCAAATCCACCAGCTGTACCATGGGAGAAAGATGTGTAAATCACTCTTCTCATGTGATTTATGACTTCTGAAAACTTGCTGAGGTTCAGGTGAGTGTATTCCGATTTGACAATAATGAGTCTAGTCTGAGTAATCTTTATGGAGATAGAATGCCACGTCTTTGTCTAATAGAGCAGCTTTTGGGCTCAAGCTACTGACATTTTGGTTAACAGCTGAGTGCATAACCACTGCACCAGCAGGACTGTTAAAGGATACCATTTAAAAGAAGCCTGAAACACCTTTATTTTCCTGGTTAGTCATCTTTCTGGCTTTCTAGCACATTCTTGAAATTCCGTATCACAGTGACTCTTGTCTAAAAGAAGGAGGAATTGAGGCTTCAGGAATTTAACAGTATGATAACAGAGAAAGTAACCAATGGTTTGTGTGCTTGGAAGGTCTGCTGATATGCTTCCTTCATGATCAGCTTTTCATTATTTCATTGCAGTGGTTTTTTCCTTGGTTTTAAACTTAAGTGGTTCCTTTTGAATTTACTTCTCTCCTCTCTCCACCTTACATTTTTTTAGTAAAGTTTCTTTCAAAAAATTCTAGGAGGCATCAGAAGCTGTTTCTGTGTGTCCTGTTCTGACTTGTTTATTTTGGCATCTTTCTCTCTTGTCTCTCACTGTAATTAGGAATGCAGGTATTCCTGCTTAAATACTTTTTAAGTGTATGATGTTTTAAATTTTACTTTAATTGCATATTTTTCTTTTATGCTTCTAATGGGATGACAGAACTCATTGAAGTGTAAGAGGTCAGTGTTAACACTTTGAATGAAGTAGGTTATTTAGTTTAAAAGAAATAGATGAACCATCTGCATTCTCCAAGTGCTTGAATTTTCATAGATTTTATACTTGAATGTCTGTGCCTAGTGCATGGCCCTATTGAAAAAGTTTAAAAGAAAAAGCATGCCAAGAAGAAAAATCCTCTTTTTGGTAGATGATATGAAATTCTTAAGATGTTGATTCTTTGTAGAGTGGAAATAACAGAGTTTTGAAGCAATCTTCTTTCTATTTCAGGTAGACCACAATATAGACATCAATTCTGAAGATGATGATGGAGAATTAGCACTGTGGTCTCCTGAAGTTAAAATTGTTGAGCTGGTAAAAGATGACAAAGGCTTGGGATTCAGCATTTTGGATTACCAGGTAAAAGGACCCTCAAACAGTTAATTTGTAACAGATTAGTTTGTATTAAATGAATATAAAATGGTGGTTGTTTAAGGCAAGCATTGACTTAAGCAAATGGAGTGATTTCATGTCCAAGACTACTATGTAAAAATGTTTTTTAAATTTTCTTTACTATTTCTATAATCAATACCCCCCTTAGTAAAATGATAGGTAGTAAAATACTTATGCAATAAAGGAAGCAATTGATTTATGCATGTGGAGACTAGACTTTAGTGTAACTTTTAGATGGAAATATTTTCCTTCAGTTTTGGTCCCTCAGTTTTTTTAGATATATTTCATGTATCCAAAAATTGACTTATTTAAAGTATATTTACAGCACTGTGCAAGTATCATCACCATCTAATTTTAGAATATTTCCAGCACTTCAATAAGAAGCCTCATACAAATTTGCAGTCATAGACAATTCTTGTTCTGTCCTCTCTCCCACTGCCTCATCAGAGGTTTCTATCCTTCCTCCCTACTATATTAAACTCAATGAGCTTAATTAAAAGAACTGTTCCTGGTAAAATGATAAAAAAGTTAGACAGTGAGGTGAAACTACAAATCCACTTAAAGGAAATGTGAAAGATCACAAAAGGAAAAATGTATACACACACGCACACACACACACACACACACACACACACACACACTCCCCTCATACATACCCACATACCAGTTTACCAGTTACTGTAGTATTTTTAGAACTTTGATGGGGGTTTTAATCATGGAGGATTAAAACTATTGGCAAGAGAGCTCTTTACTTTAAGATAAACATTTTAATACTTTAGTGCTGCCCAAACACATTGTGGTTTAATAAAGCAAAATGTACTCTACCAATGCATATGAAATGCTAAGTGATCTAAAAATCAATTCTTTTTTCTTTTAATATAATAAGGCAATCGGGAACATATTAAAAGAAAAATATTTTGAGCCTTATGTAACAGCATTAATTCCTTTCTTTGGCAGTGTGATTTAAGATTACTGAAATAGATTCTACTTATCTCCCCCCCCCCCCGGGATATTTCTGTGCTAGAGTGCCTTCTTGGCTATTAGAACTTCTCTTTGGATTATTATTGAATTATGGGTTGTTGATGAAAAAGAAAACATATTTTGGGAAATGTCTTTTAATCAGGAAATAACAGTACTTTAGGATTCTGAAAGTTTATATATTGCTTAAAATTAGAGTAAAACAAGAAATAGCAAAGAGTATGTCATCTTCCCGTTCCCACTGTAACTATCTTAACTATCACATTATATCTGCTTAGTAAATATTTGTGAAGTAATTGAATAAAGTATAGGTTTGCCATAATTTACTGTAAGTTAATGAACAAACTCAGCACAAGTTCTTGTAAACTCCTTTGATCACTGTGATTTAGTTTACAGAATACCTTTCAGATGTGATCATAGATGTTCAGTTAAATTGCCCATAATAGAGCAATCTATGTATCTTATATTATTATTGTGTGCCGTTGAGTCAGAACTGGTCTATAGCTGACCATCTCGCCATCCTCCTTTGTAACAGCTGGTAGATGAAACTGCAATGAAATTTCTTGCTCCTTTATACCATCGTAGGGTCACTATGAGTCATACTCAGCTTGACGACGATCAACAACAACAAATAATACCAGAGTAGAAATCTCTATAAATATTTGCATTCCTTTTTTTAAAAATATTTGCATTTTTATATCCTGCTTTTATTATTACTCTTCTAGTATTATCTGTAAGTTTTTATTTTGCATATTGTAAATGGTAAGGCCGAAATTTGAAAATGAACTTGAATAAAGAATGACTCTGCCGGAGAAGGAGGGACAGTTTCCTCCTGTACCAGTCAGATATGATTTGACGGTACATGCTCAAAAAATAACAAAATTTTTTTAAAAAAAAAATGAAAAGAAAAACTTGATGTCTTTAAATGTTTAAATTCCTAACTAACAAAATAATCCATTTGTCAGTTCTAAACATGATATCTTTTAAAAAAAAATATAGTCAGTATTTACAATGAAATATCTTTTGTTCACTGTGTTCATTGCTGGTGCAGATTTAATTATTGTCTTTATTAAATTCTAGAGTCTTTTTCTCCATTCATCTTCATTCTCATCATCACCACGTACACTGACATTTGTTTCTGTGAAAATTACATAAAGTGATTTTGCTGCAAAAGAGTTTTGAGGGAGAGTTTGTTTGGTTTTGAGGTTTTTTCCCTTTTCTTTGTGTATCTTGGAGAATGGATAGTAAAGCTTATGTAATTTTATTTAAATTAAAAGGCTTCATACACTTCCTTCTGTAGTAAAGCCCTGGAAATAAAACATTTCATGTTAGTGTGGCCGTATGCTACAAGTTTTCACCATTTATCAGTGGTATATAGAATTGTTATCTCTGTGACATTTATATGACAGGTAAACACAATTTAAAATTTGCTTTTGCGGGAAGTTAGTTAATTGGTAATACCATTCTTTCTTGTAATTAGGCAATATATCCTGAAATTTGAAAGTGTTTTTTTGCAAGGCCAAGTGAAGGTTTAGCAAAAGCCACGAAAGGTCAAATTCCCAACTATTAATATATTCCGTTTGTCTTGTGTGAATTTATTAGGAAGCTGAATAAGGTGAATAGAAATTTGCCTCTACCTGACTCTCTCATATTGAGAACAGTAGGTTTTGTGGAATAGGTAGTCATAGAATTTTCAGGTATTAAAAGGATAGAAATTTTTACTTTAAAATATGACTTGTTTTACTTTCGTTTTATGTTAATTACTTACCTCTAGAATATACTTCCAGGAAAGCCTGGTAAAATCATGCACAGCATTTTATTTCCTTAGTACTGCTGTGCTAATTGGTACCTTAAACAACTATGAGATAGCATCTCACCCCAGTAAGAAAAGCAAAATTCAACAGAGCTGCAAACAACAAATGCTGGTGAGGTTGTGGAGAAATTGAAACCCTTATTCACTGTTGGTGGGAATGTAAAATGGGCAACCACTATGGAAGGCAGTGTGGCACTTTTTCAAAAAGTTGGAAATAGAAATACCATTTGACATGGCAGTTGCACTACTGGGAATATACTCCAAAGAAACCAGAACTGCCTCCCGAGCAGATATATGCACATCCATGTTTATTGCTGCTTTGTTCACAATAGCAAAGAGTTGGAAACAACTCAAGTGCCCATCAACAAACAAATGGATAGAGAAATTGTGGTATATTCACATAACGGAATATTATGCAGCACTGAAAAATATAGGACTCATGAAATATTAAACAAAATGGGTGACCCTGGAGGACATTAGACTGAATGAAAGAAATATCTCAGTCACAAAAAGACAGATACTACATAATACACTGTTATAAAACAGGACTGAAATTGACGTTGGGAGGAAAGTAAGAAAAGAGGGGATAAATAATGTGCAGGGCATTGAAACAGATGGGAGATAACTGTATAAGAATATATGATTAGGTATTATTGACATGACAAGAGTCCAGAATAAGAGCTGCATAGTAAAGTGGTCTGGAAGAGTGCTGATGGTGCTGTATAACAATGAAAGAACTTTTTTTTCCCAAAGAAAAAAGTGAACTGGGGGGAAGGAGAGGCAGGGAGGAAAATGTACAACAATGAATGAATGGAAATCCAAGTTCTTTATAAACTTTCAATAAAATCTCAAATAAAAGAAATAGAGACACTGGTTAAAGGGCTACGGTGAATTTAATGAAATAATATATAAAGAAATGGGAAATAGTACATTATTATATCAATATGAATATTATTAACAGTCATCCAATTTAGAAAATTACATTTTTTACTTTTGTCAAATGTTCTTAAAGATAACTTCACACTAAACATATTTGTAACTGTACAGTTTTATAAATTTCACTAAGAAAAACAAAACTGCTGATGGTTTCAGATTCCTGGAGAGATGCTGCCTTGTATTAGCAACACCACACTCTACAGAGTAGGCCTCCAGAGCTCCTTACCTATTTCATTAGATTTGGAGAACTGATAAATAGATGTCTTTATTTAGTGAAGTGTGGGTAAAGGTGTTTGCTGGCAACGCAAAGGCAGGCGAGAAAAAGACAGACACTCTTGCCATGTGATTCTGACTCCATGGCAATGACTTTGCATTTGAAATAGGAACTTAATTGTAAAATTACATTCTAAAATTTACCCAACTCCTGATTCATATAAGAATGATCCATTTAGGGATTATTGACAAAGAATTTGCTTTTTGGGAAGAGATGAATCAGCAAATAAATTTTTTTTAACTGGCTCATGGAGCAGGGAGGTAGAACTGTACAGGTTGAATATTTTAGAATTTATAATGGTAGTCATATAGTTGAGAGAAACAAAGCATGCATTTGTAGTTGAAATGAGAGAGCTGACTCCGATTACAGTCTACAGTTAGTAATGTAACTACAGAACAAAATGGGGAAACTAAATTTCAGAAAAGCATTTTAAATAAGTTTTCTCTAAACTCATTACCATTTTGCCTCCTGGGAACTCACCCTTTAGCTTTCTGAGGATGTAGTTCTTTTTTTTAAATTTTATTATTTTTGTGTGAGTGTACCATCAAAATCAGATCTGACTGGTACAGGAGGAGATTGTCCCTCCTTCCCCGGCAGAGCATCTGGTGGATTCAAACCGTGCGCCTCTGGGATTGTAGTACAGCTCCTTGCCACTAGGCCACCAGAGCTCCCCTGAGGATGTAGTTCTTAGAAGGAGGAGATAGTGTAACTTTTTCTCAAAGGACCTCTTAGGGTTTTGGACCTCTTATGCTGCATTTTGGTTAGCATCTTAACATGCTATGTTTAAGACTAGCAGAGCTCCACTGACTATTTTGGGGGCAGAGGAAAAGAGAAAGGAGCAAGGCAGAGAATAGTTATAACTCAAATAGTGCCTTCTCATTAGATTTTTAGGGTAAAGCAGTAATAGAAGTTTTGAGTAAAGTTATTTTTAATCTTAAACATTGGTTAAACACCACTAGGTAGTAC